GGCAAGTCGGTGCTCGCACCTTTCGAGCAATCCCTTGCAACCTTGCATCGAGAATATTTCCCATGAAAAAAATCACATAACTACGGAGACATTCCCAACGCAAGGCTATAAAGGCTGATGGAATGGGCTTTGCCCTGACTAAAGCCAGACTCGACATTGCTTCTTTACTATTTACCTTCTTATGATCACTTGTTCTCAAAAATCCTAGAGCTTTATTTCATAATTTCATCCAAACAATTCATATAATGTCTCTGTTTTTGGTAAATAATAGATGATATAATATCAAGTCCCTCTAATGTACAAACCTTCAAAAAACTCCTTAATTGTGCATTAGATAAATTWAAAAAAAATGGTAACTTGTAGATTGCCACCCAATATTGGGCTTACGTTTGCTCCTCAAAATTTATTTTGTAGCTAGACCCCTTTGGATTTATGGATTTCTACACATTGCCCACTATTGGTGAATGGTGAGGTTGTAGGAAAGATAAAATTACTAAATTTCCCATCCATGATTGAATAGGCTGAGATTAAAAGCTATCAAAATGATGAAAATGGGCATTTTTTTGGTAGAAAAGGGACATGCTCAAAAAAAAAAGTTGTAATTCCAAACCTTTGTCAATGATTTCAGCACTATTCTTCCAAACCCTTGTCAATGAAGAAATAGAATTTAAGATCAAGGGTTTAAAAGAACAGTGACCCAATTCAAAAGAAATATTGTGCTTTAACATGCCCATTTTCATCATTTTATAGCTTTTCTGTCAGTCCATCAAGGCAATTTCATACGTTGACATTCCATGATTCCATCAAACCAGTTAATGAAATAGGGGAATCTTCCGAAATCCAAAATCTCAAGGTTGTCGCTAAACAAGGTTCGGAGTGCTAAGTTTCAATAGCCCCAAAGTCAAGGGTTACAATATTTAATTTACCTAAAAAAAATCCTTAATACTATAGGGACATTGCACATGAAGGTAGTAACCTAAATTTATATCACTTCTCCATTTGTTACGGTTGTGTTTGATTTGAAGGAAAAGGTAGGGAAAGGAAGGGAAAAGGTAAGGAAACCTATACAAGTTTTGTAAAGGTTTTCCTACCTTTCCCTACTTTTTCCTTCAAACCAAGCATAACCTACAAGAAAAACAATATTTTTTCCTRACTATCATGGCCTGCTGGTATATACATTCCAAAATTTAGCCAACATAACCTAAACTAACCAACATAGTCCTCAGCCTTTATATTAAAGACTAAATTTCATTAAATAAAAGCTAAACACCAGATTATAATAAGATAAGTATGTTTAACAACGAAGGAGTACGAGGGTAAACTAGGATTTTTGTTTCCAGAAAAAGGCCCAAAGCTAATAATCTTGGATGATTAGATGGAGGCAAAAGCAAGTAAATATGGGTAGGTGGGCCAAAATATGTGAGATTTAAATGGATATTGTGGGGAGGAAAACCATTCACCTTTCAAGCAGTTAGTCCTAGCTAAAAAGTGGGCTATTGTATTAGTTTAGATTCCTTATTAACAGGAAAAATAAAACAGAAAGGGTTGTTTCTCACTTAAGATATCATTCTTCTGCTTGCTATGGTGTTGTTATTTTGGATGAAAACTCCAGATTCTTTAAAGGGGTTTCATGTTCTAGTCTCCAAACTCAGAGATCAGCTATCTTTTTAGAAGCTCAAGCTCTTCTCATGGGGATGCATCTAGGAAAAAAGACGGGTGATAATCAAATTGTAGTGAAATCTGATTATGTGCAGCTAGTAAACATGAAACCACTACACACAAKTAGATATTRTCKCAATTTTATCTTTTCATGTAATTTTACATGTTAGATTGATCATATCACACCATATGATTTACATGAGGTTACAACACAACAAACCCAACTTTATTGCTATGATTAACCCTGGCACGTATGGTGGATTCAAACTGTCATGGTGGCAAGATGCTGCAGCCATGAGAATCACATTGTATTGTGAATTTTTAGATCTGTAATAGAGGGTATGAGGTTCTCAGACCTTATGCAAATCAGGCCCAATTCAATTAAGGTTATAACATGATAGGCCTATYTTAAGTTGTCCATGTTTTGGGCTGA